TATAAAGAAGATATTTACCCTAGCCAGATTTTCTTAACTGAATGGAGCGCAATTTGATATTTTTCATTCGTTACGTTTCGAAAGCTATCCTGTAAAAATATACAACAACATCTCCGCCCAATTTGATACTTTTTTTATTGGTTTAAATATATATTTTTTCTTTGCTTGCAATATTTGAAATTATTCCCACCATTGCAGATCCATGCCGGCAATAACACACTGACATTTATGCTTGATAAATTATCATTTACCTGAGATCATAAATAATCATGTTTTATCTTGTTATTGTCGGTTAATATGAAAATCATTTATCTATTTTTTGGCATTTCATTCATGTGTGATATATATGTGTGTGTGTTGGTTGTTGTTCTGTCAATATTTCATTGCACATGTGATGCAGGTTTGTTGCTTAAGTCTTTTGTTTGGAATTGACAATATTTGTTATGGCACAACATTGTTGTTATTTAATTTTTTTGGGATTTTTTTAAGCAAATATAAAAAGTGTAATGACAAATTATGTATTGCATATAGCAGACAGAGAATTTGAAAGAAGGAAGGAAATTGGGGGATTGAGAAAGAAAAAAAACTTACAGAATATTTCTTTTTCAAGGTCTTACCTTGCCTCACCCCCCAACAACAAGTGTGACCTCCAATTCTAAGTTCAAACTTTAATATATCGCTCTGTAGCAATTTAAAGCCTTTTCGTACTTTCCATACTTTTAAAGTACAATTTGGCAAAAATTATCTCACCGCTTCACTCAAACTCATGCAGGATTTTATAATTGTGTCCTTTAGTAATAGCTCAATTACCATTTTGTACTATTTAGTACTAAATGTAAACTCAATGTGCGAATTCAAAATCAAAAAAAAAAAATCAACCATTTTTCACGCCTCTACAACAAGTATGATTTTCATGGAGAAATTCAAATTTCTAAATGCTACCGACGGCTGATTTAGTACCTTTGAGTACTTTTCGTACCCTTTAATAACGAATTATATTATCCATATATGACCATCATAAAAATTTTTACAATTGCAACTATGTTTCGTATTTTTTGCACCATTAGAGTATGAATCTCTAGAAGTCTATTCACTGTACCTTTGAGTATTTTTCGTACGCTTGAAGTACGAGTTACCGAAAATTCCACCTAAGAGTCAGTCTGAAACAAAATTTCAAGGTTCTAGCTCATATTGTTCCCTCAGTACGAATATTGTACTATTTCGTACCTTTGAGTAGCTCTTCAAGCATGGAGTTACGAAAATTCCGCCGAAACATTCTCTCTACACACGGGTCTTTCTGTGTGTAAATTTTAAAGTTCCAGCCTTTGTCGATCAAACAATAATAATGTTATTTTGTGCCTTTTAGTGCTTTTCGTACCCTTTCGTATCCATCTTACAAAATTTCATAGCTGTGGCTCGTACCAATCACTTTTTAAAAATTCAGTAAAACTTCGTACTCTTTAATAATTATACCCTCAGACATATGGCGAGGGAGGGTATATATCATTTGATAGGTCAAAACGTGCCTCATCGAAATAACGTTTTAGACCCTAGGTCTCTTTGGACCAAATCCGTTTTAGGACATTTGGAGTCGATCTAGCGATGTTCGTACGTCTGTCTGCTTGGTTGGCTGGTGCGCACGATAACTGTCGAAGGGAAAGTGGTCCAAACATGGTACATCGTAATATTACTGTAAAACTTAGATCGAGTTCGGAGATGGCCAATTCGGTCCACTCATTCTGGTACCTTACCCCCACAAAATGTCAACAGTTTCAAAAAAAATATTTTTTTCTCCACAGAAAGAGAACCAATATTCCGATTTTGCTCCAACGTTTCAAATCACAATATTTGAATCAGTGCTAGTTCAGGTGCGAAAATGGAGAATATCGGTCCACTCCATCAGGTACCTCCCCCACAAAGGGTAAACATTTTGAATATCCATGAAACTCATAAAATGTGAAAATAACAACCGATTCCATTCAGACTTGGCACATCTCAATATTTCCACCCACACAAGACGTGTTATAAAGTTGATAGAGATCGAACCATTCCTTCTGCTACCTCCCTCACAAAGGGTCAAAGTTTTAAATTATTATAACTCTTATAAAATGTCATGTAAGAGTCCGATTGTCTCCAAATTTCACACATTCCATAATATCTACAAACACAAGATATGCTGTGAAGATGGGATATATCGGCCCACTACTTCTGGTATCTTCCCCACAAAGAGCCAAAATTTTGATTATCCATGAAGGTCATAAAAAGCCAAATTAAGATCCGATTCCATCCAGACTTAACGAATCTCAATATTTCTAACAAAACTAGATCTGTTGTAAAGATGGTAGGAATCGGACCATTTTTTCTGGTACCTCCCCCACAAAGGGTCAAAGTTTTGAATTACTATAACTTTTATAAAATTCGAAATAAGAATCCGATATATGCTGTAAAGGTGGAATATATCGGTCGACTCCTTCTGGTACCTTTCCCACGAAAGGTCGAACGCGAAATTAATATCCGATCGCATTCAGACTTAGCACATCTCAATACTTCCATCCACACAAGATCTGTTATAAAGATGTGAGGGATTGTACCATTCCTTCTGGTACCTCCTCCACAAAGGGCCAACGTTTTGAATAACCAAAACGATTATTAAATCCGAAAAAAGCTTCCGATTCTCTTCACATTTCACACGTCCCATAATATCTACTAACACAAGATCTGCTGTGAAGATGGGATATATCGGTCCACTCCTTCTGGTATCTCCCCCACAAAGTGTCAAAATTTTGAATAACCATGAAGCTCATAAAATGTGAAATTAACATCCGATTCCATTCAGGCTTGGCACATCTCAATATTTCCACTGACACAAGATGTGTTATACAGTAGGTAGAGATCGGACCATTTCTTCTGATACCTCCTCCACAAAGGGTCAAAGTTTTGATTAACTAAAAACTATCATAACACCCGAAATAAACATCCGGTTCTCTTCATATTTCACACATCCCATTATTTCTACTAACACAAGATCCGCTGTTTAGATAGAATATATCGGTCCACTCCTTCTGGTATCTTCCTCACAAAGGCTCAAAATTTTAAATATCAATGGGGCTCTTAAAATGCGAAATTAACATCCGATTCCATTCAGTTTTGGTACATCTCAATATTTCCGTCAACACAAGATCTGTTATCAAGTTGGTAGAGATCGAACCACTTCTTCTGATACCTCCCCCACAAAGGGTCAAAGTTTTAAATTATTAAATCTTTTATAAAATTCGAAATAAGAATCCGATATATGTTGTAAAGGTGGAATATATCGGTCGACTCCTTCTGGTACCTTCCCCACGAAAGGTCGAATACGAAATTAACATCCGATCCCATTCAGACATAGCACTTCTCAATACTTCCATCAACACAAGATCTCTTATAAAGATGGTAAGGAATATGGGATATATAGGCGGTTCTCTTCGAATTTCACAAATGCCATAATTTTTACCAAAACAATATGTGCAGTAAAGGTGGGATGTATCGGTCCACTCTTTCTGGTACCTTCCCACGAAAGGTCGAAGCGAAATTAACATCCGATCCCATTCAGACTTAGCACATCTCAATACTTCCATCAACACAAGATCTGTTATAAAGATTCTGGTAACTCCCCCACAAAGGGCCAAGGTTTGAATAACCAAATCCGAAAAAAATCATTCGACCATCTTCATATTTCACACATCCTATTATTTCTACTAACACAAGATCTGCTGTGAAGATGGGATATATCGGCCCACTCCTTCTGGTATCTCCCCCACAAAGGCTCAAAATTTCCAATACTTTTATCTGTTAAAAATTGCGAAACACACCAGCGATTCTTTACAACTTGCAATACCTAAATATTTCTCTCAACCTGAAACCTGAGATGAATATCGAATTTATGATTTCACTTAAGGTAGGATATAAATATCCGATTTTTTTGCCTTTTTGTCAATACCAAATATTTTTATCTAAATTGTATGAAGTATGAAAATGGAATACTTGGGTCGACTATATCTGGTGCCTAACGCCCATTTTACCATTTTCTAAAAATTGTCACGTTCCTCATATAAAGTGAAGGAAGTAGTCCAAACCTGGCACGTCGCAATATTCATATCATATTTATTTAGATCTGATACGAAATGGGTAAACTGGGACCATTCCTTCGCAACCTAGTCCATAGAGGGTCAAAAATTTGAATTATCATAACAGAAGTTAAAATATATTTAAATAAACGAACATTGGCTGAGGGTATACTTGTGCCGAAAAAACCGACTGATACTTTTTAACTTGTTTTTATTTAATTTTTATTGGGAAACTCCTAAGAAGACTAATGTGGCGCCCAAATGATCAAGGATACAAAAATATATTATTTTTCCTACGAAAAAAAAAAATTTCGCTATTCCTTTATAATTATCGTATTTAGAATCAGAATCTTTTATTCCGGACGATGAAAATTCCTTGCCGTTATTCTTTTATCTTCTTCGGAATTTCGTTTCCATTCCATCTCTCCATTCAGTTGCCTTGATGTATTAATAATCTCTCCACGTGTGAATTTGTTGTTAATAACAGATTAAGATGTTGTTTCATCTTTTCGCTGTCTTCGGGGATACACAGCTAGCTTTAGGTGATTTCATTCATACAGCCTACATCCATCAACACCATTCAGAGACGGCCGAGAAATCATCATCCGCAACAGCCTCATCATCCCAGCTTACATCCATCAGTAATTTAAGACAAATGATGATGTTGGGCTCTTTGAAATGTTTCAGAGGTGTTTTTTTGGTGTCTAGGCTTTAGTGGTAAAGCGACTGCTGCAGGGGATACTTAAGAGAAAAAAAAACTCATGTGAAGTGGGGTGGGGGGAATTCTCAATTCAATTTAATGGTAGTTATTAGTCCAGGCTTTTAAGAGCCCAAATGTAATTCCTTGGAAGCTGGCGATTAATAATTTTCCCCTTTTTTCTCCCTCTCTTCCAGGAAAACGTTCCAACGATTTAACGAATTTCGAAACTACAAATCTTCTGCCACCCCAACAGTACGTGGCCCCTGCCTACCATCAATTGCCTGCCGATTTATCTGCCGAAAATATACAAAAAGAGGCTGCCTTGGTCTTGGCCCAAGCGAAGCGCCATAAAAGCATTGCCGAGAATGGTGATAACATACCCACATTTCGGGTGAAAACTAAACGTTCGGGAGAATCGGCGGCCACAAATCCCAAAAAGTTCCATTCCTTGCCTTCACGTAAGAAAAAGCCACCTGCCGCCAAGCCGGTGACGCGCAGCAGCAGTGACGCAGCTGGCAAGAAGCCCACAAAGAGGCCCTCCATATTTAGCCTGTTTAGCCGGAAAAGTGATACGAATATCAATCAGGCGGAAAGGGATCCACGTTTCGAGGATAGCGGAGGTCGTCGTTTGGTGCGCAGTAAAAGTGATGTGGGCTCCTCGTCGTATCGTTTGAAGAAGGTCTTAAAGGAACCCAAGTCAGCGTTATCGGCCGGATCAAATAAACATTTGCCCACCCAGCTGAGTCCCATCATCGAAAACGATTCCAAGGACGATTACTTCGAAGAGGATTTCGCCAAGCACACACGAGTACGCCGCAAATCGGAAGCCATCACAGATAAGGAAAAACATGAAAGTGCCATCAATGAGCTGTTAGGTCGTAGCCGCTCCCAGCCGGAAGTCGATGGTGTTGGTCTGGTGGGACGCATACCAGTGTCCGACGTTATAAAAGAGAAAATTCTAAGCCTACAAGCCAAGTCACAAGAGAACATGCATAGCTCCCAGTTGCCGGTGCAGAAATTGCCGCTGACCAAGGGTCACACGGTGAATGGTATGGTGAAACGTCTGTCCATGGAAAGGTTTTCACCCCCGCCCACCATATCGGGCCCAGCCTTCTCCTACATACGGCCCAATGAGGGTATTACCTATGCCCAGCTGGAGCTGCAGGATGAGCCAGCATCCAGAACCACCCTGCCGCGTCGGGAATACACCCGCTCCCCGGTAAGGGAATATCGCTCCCCCGTACGGGAAATGCGTTCCCCCTCCCGGGACATTTTCACCCCGGATCGTGAACTCGTTACGACCACCGTAATAAATCGCAGCATTAGCAAACCTGAGGATCAAACCGATTTCATTGGAACTAGTCAACGCAACAACTACTCGCCCAGCTACAACACCAACAATGGCACCACCACCATACACATTGGTGGCTCGTTCTCCCCCTCACCCTGGCAAATGTTGTCGCCACGCAATCTCAGCGATGAGGATGAGGGTTTGGGTCTAGAGACCCGCAAATATTATGAAGATGAGCAACTCAAACGCAGTAAGTCGCCAGCCGAACCGCCCATTGTTCCCAAGATACGCAGCATTACGCCACCGCGGGAGAATGGCTATCATGCCGGAGAACGTTATCACACACCCAATCGTGATGTGAATCCCAACGATGATATGGGTTATCGTCGGGCCCGTTTGGAGTCCCGGATCCTAACCCGGCGATTTGGTGACTCTGGCACCCTGGAACGTAATGGCTATTCGCGGGAGAACTCCCATGAACGTCTGCTGGAGGAGCGTGAAAATTATCCACCCAAACGTTATCTCAGCCCCGAAAGGGAGTTGCATCGGGAACCCTATGAGCCCATGCGTTATCACAAGCCCGAGGTAAAGGAGATCCTGAATAAATATTCTCCCGAGAGGAGTCATCTCGACATTATCTCTCCCTCGACGGTGGTTGCGCCACCACCCAATGGCACCATGGAAAAGACATCGCGTTACAAACACACCAAATACTATGATGATGGTCATGGTGGGGTTAAGGAGGTCTATGAACGGGAAACCCAATTCGACACGGATGGGAAGCCTCATGTACGCGAAACCAGACACCGGGAACGTCTGGACTCCTACACGGGTAAGGTGATACGCGAAAGTTCACCCATAATAGAGCCACGACATCGTGAGCGTTTGGATTCGTATAGCAAAAATGCCCGAGATAGTTCTCCATCGCTTTTGGAGGCAAGACACAGGGAACGTTTGGATTCGTTTACCCACACAAAGACCACCCGGGATAGTTCACCGCTCATGGAGCGACAATTGATTACGGACTATGAACCCAAGTCATTTGATTCACAATTCACGACGACCGATCAATATCGTTCGTCACCGGAAAATATGAAACGTTATGATATGAATTCAGATCGAGGGGTGAATACAGGGCGGCTAAGTAGTGAAGATCGCTGGCACAGCAGCTTGAAGAGGGATAAGCTGCAACAGCGAAGCTTTGACAAGGGCGATTCGGGTATTGAGAATGATTTCCGCAAGGAGTCGTTCAATGGAGACCTGGTGACACGGTAAGTCCGTACGAAACTCTGTTCCTATACGGCTAACTGTTCCTATACGGAAACCTTATTCGGATAACATTTCCTATACGGAAACCTTATTCGGATAACATTTCCTATACGGAAACCTTATCCGGATAACATTTCCTATACGGAAACCTTATCCGGATAACATTTCCTATACGGAAACCTTATCCGGATAACATTTCCTATACGGAAACCTTATCCGGATAACATTTCCTATACGGACACCTTATCCGGATAACATTTCCTATACGGAAACCTTATCCGGATAACATTTCCTATACGGAAACCTTATCCGGATAACATTTCCTATACGGAAACCTTATCCGGATAACATTTCCTATACGGAAACCTTATCCGGATAACATTTCCTATACGGAAACCTTATCCGGATAACATTTCCTATACGGAAACCTTATCCGGATAACATTTCCTATACGGAAACCTTATTCGGATAAAATTTCCTATACGGAATCCTCATCCGGATAACATTTTCTATAGGGAAACCTTATCCGGATAGCATTTCCTATGCGGAAACCTTATCCGGATAACATTTCCTATACGGAAACCTTATCCGAATAACATTTACTGTACGGAAACCTTATCCGAATAACATTTCCTATTTGGAAACCTTATCCGAATAACATTTCCTATACAGAAACCTTATCCGGATAACATTTCCAACACCGAAAAGTTATCCGGATAACATTTCCTATGCGAAAACCTTATCCGGATAACATTTCCTATGCGGAAACCTTATCCGGATAACATTTCCTATGCGGAAACCTTATCCGGATAACATTTCCTACGCGGAAACCTTATCCGGATAACATTTCCTATGCGGAAACCTTATCCGGATAACATTTCCTATGCGGAAACCTTATCCGGATAACATTTCCTATACGGAAACCTTATCCGGATAACATTTCCTATGCGGAAACCTTATCCGGATAACATTTCCTATGCGGAAACCTTATCCGGATAACATTTCCTATACGGAAACCTTATCCGGATAACATTTCCTATGCGAAAACCTTATCCGGATAACATTTCCTATGCGGAAACCTTATCCGGATAACATTTCCTATGCGAAAACCTTATCCGGATAACATTTCCTATGCGGAAACCTTATCCGGATAACATTTCCTATGCGGAAACCTTATCCGGATAACATTTCCTATACGGAAACCTTATCCGGATAACATTTCCTATGCGAAAACCTTATCCGGATAACATTTCCTATGCGGAAACCTTATCCGGATAACATTTCCTATGCGGAAACCTTATCCGGATAACATTTCCTATGCGGAAACCTTATCCGGATAACATTTCCTATCCGGAAACCTTATCCGGATAACATTTCCTATACGGAAAACTTATCCGGATAACTTTTTCTATCCGGACATTTTTTTACACGAAATCCTTATCCGGATAAAAATTTCTCTACGAAACTTTATCCGAATAAATTTTTCGGTCCGAATACCTTATCCGGATAACATTTTTCACAAGGAAACCTTTCCGGATAAAATTTGATATCCAAAAACTTTACCGGATATCTATCTCTAACTATTTTAATTTATTTTATTTTTACCTTCTCTCACTTTTTCTCTCTTTCTCTCTCTCTCTCTCTCAGATGGCGCAAACCCACCACTGACGACAACATTAAATCCTGTGAGAGTTTCCTGAAAAAAGAACGTCGCTACTGTGAACACGAACGCCAACCAAGGCGATCCGAAAACTACGCCTATCGCGAACGCTCCATAGACGATGGCTCACATTTCGATCCCAATTTGGATAAATATCACGGCAGCAGTGCCACTCTAAAGCGTCGCGATCAACAATCGCAGACAGTTCACCATGATCAGGAGAAAACGAGTACCTCAACGCTGAAGCGTTCCAAGAAATTGGGTGGCTTTGAGAAAGTCAAGCAGCTCTTTACCGGTGGCAACACCAGTGGCGATAAAAAGGACCCTGAGCGCAAGAGCATGAGCAGCAGCACCAGCAGTAGTGCCGGTACCCAGCAGACCATTAAACCAAAAGATAAAGACAAATATATGGTCAAGGAGGAGGAGATACGATCACGTTATCGTGTCAACGGTGTGGTGACCAATGGCAGCAGTAGTAGCGGTGGTGAACGCGGAGGAGGAGGAGTTGGTGTCGCCACACAAACTCCGGAGAGCATAAGGGAACCAAAGGTGAGTGAGAAAATCTTAACTTTTTTCCTTGGAAGAAAATATAATCCGAAGAACAACTTTACGAATAAAAAATATCCGGATAAAAGTATTTTATGGGAAAACTATCCGGTTCCAAATATTTCTATAGAAAATGTTATCCGTTTAAGGTTTTTGTATGGAAGATTTTATCCGGATAAGGTTTTCGTATAGAAAATGTTATCCGGATAAGGTTTCCGTATAGAAAATGTTATCCGGATAAGGTTTCCGTATAGAAAATGTTATCCGGATAAGGTTTCCGTATAGAAAATGTTATCCGGATAATGTTTTCCGTATAGAAAATGTTATCCGGATAATGTTTTCTTATAGAATTTGTTATCCAGATTAGGTTTTCGTATAGAAAGTTTTATCCGGATAAGGTTTTCTTATAGAAAATTTTATCCGGATAAGGTTTTCGTATAGGAAATGTTATCCGGAAAAGGTTTCCTATAGGAAATTTTATCCGGATAAGGTTTCCCTATAGGAAATTTTATCCGGATAAGGTTTCCCTACAGGAAATGTTGTCCGGATAAGGTTTCCGTATAGGAAATGTTGTCCGGATAAGGTTGCCGTATAGGAAATGTTGTCCGGATAAAGTTTCCGTATAGGAAATGTTGTCCGGATAAGGTTTCCGTATAGAAAATTTTATCCGGATAAGGTTTCCGTATAGGAAATGTTGTCCGGATAAGGTTTCTGTATAGAAAATTTTATCCAGATAATGTTTCCGTTTAGGAAATGTTATCCGAATAAGGTTTCCGTATAGGAAATGTTATCCGGATAAGGTTTCCGTATAGGAAATGTTATCCGGATAAGGTTTCCGTATAGGAAATGTTATCCGGATAAGGTATTCGTGGAGAAAATGTTATCCGGATAAGGTATTCGTGGAGAAAATGTTATCCGGATAAGGTATTCGTGGAGAAAATGTTATCCGGATAAGGTTTTCGTATCGGAAATGTTATCCGAATAAGGTTTTCGTATCGGAAATGTTATCCGAATAAGGTTTTCGTATAGAAATTTTGGTTTCGTAAAGAAAATTTTTAAATGTTATCCGAATAATGGTTTCGTATAGAAAATGTTATCCGGATAAGGTTTTCGAATAGAAAATGTTATCCGTGTAAGGTTTCCGTATAGGAAATGTTATCCGGATAAGGTTTCCGTATCGGAAATTTTATCCGGATACCGTTTTCTTTTGGAAAATGTTATCCGGATAAGTTTTTCTTATGGAAAACGTTTTCCGGATAAAGTTTCCGTATATGGAATATTATCCGGACAAGTTTCGCATATCGTAAGTGTTATCTGGATAAGGTTTCCGCATCGGAAATAATATCTGTACATAAAATTTTATTTAAATAAAATTTTATCCCACTCTTTATGACATTTTTTGCCCTTTTCCTGGATATGCCTATGTCCTAATAGTTGCATGGGCCGTCTTGGAAAAACGATGCTCCTATGAATGGCCATCGTAAAAATCCCCTCAAAAGGAAGCTCTATGGAGGAGTTACCCAAAAAACAGACGACATAAACATCATTAGCATGAATGCCAAGCAATAAAAGACAGAACAGCCAACTTCTTCCTGCCTGGCCAACTCATTTTTTTTTCTGTGGGTCATGATGGGAGTGAATGAATGAAGAAACGAATAGCTGACTGACTGAGTGAGTGAGTCTTCCTTATGGTCTTGACTGACTTTATCTTCTGCTGTAATATGTGTCGTCATCGTCAAGTTTGCGTTTAACCGCATACTGTTCCGATGTTGTTGTTGCTGTTGTGTGTGGAGGCGTGAAAAAAATATTGCCTTACATAACAGCAGCCCGTTTTGTGGATGCCGTTGCATGTTGGGCCGTTTGAGGTTGCTGTTCGCTCAAGACATGATCTTGAAAGTTATGCAACATGCCCAAGTTGACATATTGACACCCTTTCAGCATTACGTTGTTGTGGTTGTTGGTGTTTTTGTTGTTGGGAGTTTACGACAGGAACAGAAGGAGGTGAACATGCACATGCCCAAAGAAGCTCATACCGCACAAAAGACTTAGGCGATGGCATGTTGCGGGGTCTTACATCGGCAGAAACATAAAATTACATGGCTGATATGACATGACAGACCGACAGACAGACACAAAGAAGAAGAGGATGGAGAAGTTGAAGAGGCTTCCCTTTGAGTTTCGGATGCCATTTTCGCAATGGCATAAATTAAGTGGGGAATAAAAAAAAGGCCAAAACTGAAGCTGAAAATACTTTGTATTGAAATTTTTAGGCTTCCTGAAAATTTTGAATATTTCTTTTTTGGATTTTTTTCTTTATGCCAACCTTCAGCGGATTAAGCAGGATTTTTAGGGGCAATTTAAATTAGCCATGGTCTGTAACTTATGTACATTTATGTCATTTTGCAGATATTAAAAGAGCAATGAACTCCAAGGATTCCAAAATGAATACTAAGTTCACAAGGAGACCCTGTAGTGAGGTTGGGACAGCCAGTCCCATTACTGTTAAGAAATAAATGAATTGGCAGCGATAATGATCATAATTGGCAATTAGGGATGGAGATTAAAAATAAAAAAAAATGCCTTGGCTTACGGGGAATCTGAAATGTTGCCAAGAAGATTATGAAGTAGGCTGGAGAAAAATTTAAAAAATATAAATAACCTTTCTTCGGTTCCACCCAATATCCCACCCCAAAGAAAAAGTGTTAATTTGAAAATGATTTGAGTTTATTTTGGGTTTATGTCTACACATGCCGGTACCGACTCTAATGAGGCAACCAGCAATGGTCATTTAAATGAAATAGCAAAATTATTTTTAATATTTGCCAGGCACGGAAATCCATCATCAATGGGCCAAAGAAGGCAAAGAAGCCGGCCGGCCGGCTTTTAATAAAATGTTTTTTGGATGGTGCAAAAAACTAGCCATCCCAACAAAATTGCTGGCCTCAACCAATTGGCCCCCAGTAAGGCTACCGTGGCATAGGTCAATGTTCGATCTGTCGGCTATTTGTTTTATTTGCATTACCCATTCTCTGGTTTGCTACGACTTGCCACAACTTTGTGGTGTAACTTTGTTTGATTGGCAATTTAGGTTTGAGGTTGGGTGAGTCCATGCGTGATTTGTTCACTTTCTGTGGACGACTCATTGAGGGAGTCAAGGTATTCGTAAACAACTCTAACCTTCTCTCCCTACCTCTTTCACTCACTTTAATGTTTTTGTTATTTTCAAAATTATTATTTTCCATTCTTCATCTATTGTTTATTCTTTTTGCCCATTCATCTTCAAAACATCGGAGCTGCTAATAACCTCTATTGGTCATGGGAAGCCAATAATTAGGGAATAATGGTATGCGGTCAGGCGGTCCAAGGAGAGAGAGATGATATTTTATTCTCTTTTGTTTGTTTTGCTACCAAATAATTAGCATGGGGGGTGAAGAAAAATCAATCAATTCTTATGATTTAGCCTAAAAATCGTATTCGGATAAAATTTTCATCAAAATCACCAAAAAACACGTTTCCTATACGAAAACCTTATCCGGATAACATTTTCTATACGAAAACCTTATCCGGATAATATTTTCTATACGAAAACCTTATCCGGATAACATTTTCTATACGAAAACCTTATCCGGATAACATTTTCTATACGAAAACCTTATCCGGATAACATTTTCTATACGAAAACCTTATCCGGATAACATTTCCTACACGGAAACCTTATCCGGATAACCTTTTCTATACGAAAACCTTATCTGAACAACATTTCCTATACGGAAACCTTATCCAGATAATATTTTCTATATAGAAATCTTATCCGGATAACAATTTCTATAAGGAAACTTTATCCGGATAACATTTTCTACACGGAAACCTTATCCGGATAACATTTTCTATACGGAAACCTTATCCGGATAAAATTTTCTATACGAAAACCTTATCCGGATAACAGTTTCTATACGAAAACCTTATCCGGATAACATTTTCTATACGAAAACCTTATCCGGATAACATTTCCTACACGGAAACCTTATCCGGATAACCTTTTCTATACGAAAACCTTATCTGAACAACATTTCCTATACGGAAACCTTATCCAGATAATATTTTCTATATAGAAATCTTATCCAGATAACAATTTCTATAAGGAAACTTTATCCGGATAACATTTTCTATACGGAAACCTTATCCGGATAACATTTTCTATACGGAAACCTTATCCGGATAAAATTTTCTATACGAAAACCTTATCCGGATAACAGTTTCTATACGAAAACCTTATCCGGATAACATTTTCTATACTAAAACCTTATACGGATAAAATTTTCTATACGAAAACCTTATCCGGATAACATTTTCTATAGGAAAACGTTATTCGGATAACATTTTCTATACGAAAACCCTATTCGGATAACATTTTCTATACTAAAACCTTATCCAGATAACAGTTTCTATACGAAAACCATATTCGGATAACATTTTCTATACGAAACCATTATCCGGATAACATTTTCTATATGAAAACCTTATCCGGATAACATTTCCGATACGAAAACCTTATCCGGATAACATTTCCGATATGAAAACCTTATCCCGATAACATTTTCTATACGAAAACCTTATCCGGATAACATTTTCTATACGAAAACTTTATCCGGATAACATTTCCGATACTAAAAACTTATCCGGATAACATTTTCTATACGAAAACCTTATCCGGATAACATTTTCTATACGAAAACCTTATCCGGATAACATTTTCTATACGAAAACCTTATCCGGATAATATTTTCTATACGAAACCCTTATCCGGATAACAATTTCTTTACGAAACCCTTATCCGGATAACAATTTCTTTATGAAACCCTTATCCGGATAACATTTTCTATACGAAACCCTTATCCGGATAACATTTTCTATACGAAAACCTTATCCGGATAACATTTTCTATACGAAAACCTTATCCGGATAACATTTTCTCTACGAAAACCTTATCCGGATAACATTTT